ATGTCACATATGTAAAAAGTAATAAAAAAGTTAAAAGAGACTTATTTAAATAAAGAAACTAAAAAAAAAAATTTTTGTTAAAGTAAAACGATCAAATGAAATTTTAACCCAAAAAAATTACATTTGCGCAATGCTAACATTCGTGTACATTATAATAACCACACTCAATATTAATATTAAGAAAGTTGTTAAGTTATCCCCAAATTAAAGGGTTAAGAAAACTTTATTGAAAATAAATTGATATTAATAAAGTATTAAAAACTTTTTTTTTAATTTCATCTTTTTCGAGTCAATAAAAACATACATTTTAATAATACTTTAGATTAAAATTAATAGTGAATATTACATTTAAATTGTTATTGACTGTTGATCATGAAGCGTTGAATGGATGGGCAACTCTCATTATTAAAGAGCCTCCTCTTTATTTAATAATTTAAATTTTAGAATTTAACACAATTTAGATAGAAAATTTTTATGTTCTTTAACATTTTCTCGTTTGACAATAAAAAAATAATATAAAGACTAGTATATATCACTTCTAACTCTAAAAAATAATTAGAGTTTCAATCTATGTTTGAAAATTAAAATTTTATTTTATTAAATATTGATATTTAGATTTAAAAATTAATTATATATTCTAATATAATTTATTTTTAAATCTAAATATCAACACTCAATAAGATATTTTTTTTAATTTTAAATTAATTTTAAATTAAATAATGACGTAATTTAGGATTGAGATTCTAATTATTTTTAACAGTGGAGACTGATATATACTTTTTCATTAAACAATATAAATTATATGAAATTATATAATTTAAATTATTAAATAAAAGATAAATTCTTTAATATTAAAAGTTGTTTTGTTCATTTGTCTAGTAAGAAAAGGGATTTACTTATATACAAGTTTATATATTATATTTACACAAAAATTTAAATTATTTATTTTTTTTAATAATTAAAATTTATCAAGGCTTTTTAAATAAAAAACAATAATTTTTAATAAATAAAAATAAATTTTACCTATTAAAATAAAAAATAAATAATTAAAATTTTATATAAATATAATATATAAAATTTAGATATAAATCAATCTGTACTTGTGTAATAATTTTTGTTTTGCATTTCTAGCTTAATGCAATAACTAGGTCCAAAATTTTCCTCACTTCATTATTGGGCTTGGCAATAATTCGCCACCTCTTTTCTGTATTGGAAGAACTGGGCCCGCAATTGGCCTTACTGAATTATAACTTCTGCTTTTGCATCTTTGTTTCATTTTTTCCGAAAGATAAAATTGCCTTTTGCTTTTGGGATGCAAAATGCTAGTATTACTGTACTTGTCTAGTTTGGCTTCCTCTAAATTTGATTAATTTGATTTGATTTTTGTGTACTTAAATTATTAAACTATTTAATTATTAAACCTAGACAGTAAGAGTCAACAACCCATTTATTTAATTTGTATCAAGGCATCCTTCATCCTGCAATTTGTCACCTGCCCAAACAAATTAATCTGGATTGCTTTGTTTATTATCTTAATCTCTAAAACGTATCAGTGAATTTGATTAGAAAATCAATCGCAGGCAAAATTTGTGGCACTTATATTGAATTTGATAGATATTTGTAGTTTTTTTTTTTCTTAAACAAATAGCTATGCTTTCTAAAAATATTAGTTTATAAATTGATTTTAATTTATTAAATAATAACTATTAATTGTTCTATTAATTATTAGTTATTTTTAACAATTAAATCAAATAAAATAAATATTTTTTTAATCAATTTCATAATTTTAACAAAAGAGGTTGTTATAACCGCGTTCCAATAAAAGGGATAATTCTTGTTCTAAATAGAATTCTTTAAATCATATTTAATCTTATATACAGAGGATTTCTTTATGTTAGCAATTGCCTGGAGTTAATTTGCCTTTTTTCAATTCCTTTGATTTTTGTTGATTGTCTTCATGCCTAAATTCACCTTTCAACTATAACAATAGAGATAGATCTATAATAACAAAAAATAGTAGTAAATTATTTCATTAAATAATTGACTTAGAATAATAATCTAAAATTTAATTGTGTTACATCACTAATTACCTCATTCTTCTGGATATATATACCTTAACTCTTCTGAGGGAAGGAGTAAATAGTTGGCCAACATCAAGCAAGGGAATTATGATAAAGAGGGATCTTCCTTAAGCTCTTGCAACCCAACAATCCTAATCTCTTCAAGGGAGTCACACAATAGGTTTATCATCGTAGTATCATTTACATTATAAATTATAAATTTATTTGATAATATCAAATATTATATTATTTAAATAAATAATTATAATTAAATCACGTCAAATTTAATGTATTAATTTTCTTTTTAAACATAATTACATTGTTGAGAAAAGAAGAATTGAGTTGACCTCTAATTCGATACTTATGAAAAGTAGTCCTATGCAGGAGCGACCACTTACTCTATCGAAGAGTTATCCGTCAGATTTAATGTTATTGGAATGTGAAACATGACAAACTTTACTGATTTAAATACATATAGAGCAATGGCTTGTAACATTTTTGTTAAATCTCAAGCTCCAAGATGGATCAGTTGGCAACCACCAGTCCCTCCCTTTTATAAATTTGATTGATGTTTACTAAGTCGTTAAATTATTTAATTATCAAACCTTCACAGTAAGAGTCATCATCCCAATTATTTAATTTGTATTAATCAGAGTTTAGCTTTTATTATTTTATATGATTCCCAACACTTAAGGCATTGTTTTAAAAATATCGGATTGATCTGTTGATCAATTGGACCAACGCCCGGTGTTATAAACGATTCGAATGAATATTTAAAACTGATGAAGTGATTGAACCGTTTAAAACTAATAAAACTGTGTAAAACGATACAAATCATTCAACCAGTCGGTTTAAAGTTAATGAAAATTTTTCTTTTGATTTGCCATCCCTGGGGTTTGAACGTAGGGCCTAAAGGAGATATTTCCAGCCTTCTGCCACTTGGACGTCCCCTGCACGTTGACATAACTAGCTCAAAATTTTATTTATTTTATTTTGGGTCAGCTGAATTTCCATCCCCTTCCTGAGTTCCTCACCCAATGTTAAGACAATAAAATTGATTTTCATGTTAAAATTAATACAATATTTATCTAATTTTTATTTTAAATACATAAATTAAAAGTTTCCTAAATATTGAATAGAATTAATTTTTCACCTATCCTCCCTACAGATGAATAGCCATCAAAAACTTACTCTCTTGCAAACAAGCAGCACTAAT